CTAACACGAATACGACTCACTAACCTAAATTGTCTCCCCTAATTGAATCTCGAGAGAAGGACACAAACCTAACATAATATTGACATTCATAAGCACATGCTACGTTGGTGTGAAAAATGATGACAAATCCTAATAATGACTTTTAGAGTATAAGATCAAACTAACATATTTATATACTCTCACGTCTCAATCACGTCTTATTATATCTTTTCCAACGTGACTATATGTCTTTTCTTTTTTCTTTTTTCTTTTTCCGTTGCCCTTTACTATTTTGAAGATAAATTTTTGGGCTAACATAGAATTATCATGATCGTGTAACATATGAATATCATTTTTTATTACACTAATTGAGTCATGCGTTATGCACGCGGATAAAATTTTATATATTTAATCTTCTGTTAAGGTCAAGTTCATAAATAAACGGGACCAATTTGATACTATATGGAAAATATTTAACAAGGAGCACTCATACAAGTTGATAAAGTGAGATGAGGTTTGTATTTTGGTAGGCACACATTTTGATTCTGCATTATATAAATAATAGATGAGTTTTCAAACCAAAGTACTAACTACTTTGTTTATAAGTTTTTAAAATTTGATTAGCAAATAATTAAAATTACATTAAAAAAATATTGTTTAGAGTAAATATTAAGACAGAGTCAGTTTATCAGTTTAGTTAATGCGCTTGTTAAATTATTTGTAATTTTGCTTCTACTAACTTTAAAAGTTCAAAAAATAAATATTTTTGTTGCGAAAGGTAGTTAGATTCCATTGCTAAAACAAACTTAGCAGACATTTGCTATCGCTGAAATTCTCTTGTATTAAGGCAGCTAATCCTCCATCTAATCATCTTCCTAGTGATTAATCACAATCCTCTCCAATGTGATGTCACTGCTTACCTTCATCAGATTATACCCTCTCTGATTTCTTTAATATGGATTGTACAATTTGTCTGCCACGTTTCTTCATTCTTCCCGTTGTAATTTTGTCCTCTGTAATTCAGCATATTCTTGTATTATACCGGATCTCTTGAAACTATTCATTCGGTGGAGAAATACAATACACAAAACCAGATGATTTCCAAAAGGTCTTTTACCCTTTTTATGGTATCAGAGCACCACGCTTAAAACCCTATAATGGCCGACTCTTCTTCCTCAGAGACTACCAATACTCCACCGACTAGCCAAATCACAAACACCCAGACCACAAACACTCAACCCATTCAAATTGTCAGTCCCTCGAACCAAGCAATCAACATCTGGCTAGCTGATGAGAACTTTCTTCTCTTGAAACACCAAGCCTTGGCCACAATCAATTGGCTATGGTCTTGACGGCTTCATCTTCGGAACAAACGTCTGCCCGGCTGAAATGCTACCGACGGTGAATGGGAGGCCTGGATCGGTAAATCCGGAATGGATCGCATGGGTCAGACAGGACCAACTTCTGGTCTCGTGGCTCTTAGCCTCAATGAGTGAGAGCATTTAGCTCCAATGGTGGGATGTAATGAGTCCCATGAAATCTGGTCAAGGGTTGAAGCAATTTTCTCCTTTCAAACCCAGGCCAAGGTGATGCAATATAAGCTTCAAATTCAGAGTTTTAAGAAGGGGAGTCTATCCATGAGAGAATACCTTCTAAAAATGAAAACTTTTACTGCTGTTCTGATTTCTGTCGGCCAACAAATCACAAAACAGGACCAAATCATGTATATTCTTGCAGGACTGGGAAATGAGTATGATTCGGTGGTGGTAATGTCACTTCCCGAACAGTTCCTTATAGTTTTCAAGAGTTCACAGCACTTCTGCTTGCTTATGAGAATCGACTTGAGCAGCACACAGTCAACACCGATGGGACTTTGCCACCTGCAAACGTCGCTCAATAGCAGCAAAAGAAGCCCTTTGGTGGCAAACCACAGCCACAACAAGGTGGAAATCAGTTTCGGAACTTCTCCAACAGCGGTGGTAGAGGCGGAGGACGGAACTGGGGTAATAACAGACCTCAGTGCCAATTTTGTCGCAAATTTGGTCATACGGTCCACACATGCTACTATAGGTTAGACGCTAGCTTTTCTGACGTGACGAGTTCCGCTGGCGGTAGTAACTCGCAGCACCCAAATCCCTCAATGGCGATGATGGCAAGTCAAGACACGAACGCTGAAAATTGCTGGTTTCCGGACACTGGGGCGACGAATCATGTCACCAATGATTTGGCCAACTCGAACATTGGAGCTGCTGAGTATCTTGGCAACAACAAAATTCTTGTGGGCAGCGGTACAGGTTTGAGAATTCACAACATAGGAAACTCATCTTTAATAGCTCCTGATGCTATAACCTCAAAACCATTTTTTCTACATAATTTATTACATGTCCCTGCCATTACAAACAATTTAATTAGTGTTTCCCAATTTGCTAAAGATAATAAAGTGTTTTTTGAATTTTATCCCTCTTATTGTGCTGTGAAGGATCTAGCAACGGGGCGAGCACTACTCCAAGGGACGCTTGAGAAAGGCCTATACCGTGTTCCTCTCACCACTTCTCAGCCATCCAAGTCCAACTCCACTTCATCTGCTCATATTCAACCGTTCAGCTTTCCTTCAAAATATCAAGAGTCAATCAAGTAGAAGCAACTTTAGTCCAATGCTACTGCAGATTCTAGTTGTAGGTTTAAATCTGCTCTTGTTTCTAGATTAGAGTCAAATGTCTCTTCTTATGAACTTTGGCATAGACGATTAGGACATCCTGGTGCAAGAATTGTAAATTCTGTGTTGAAAAATTGTAATGTCAAAGCTTCTATAAATGAAAAAGAGTTTTTCTGCACTGCTTGTCATATGGGAAAAAGTCAAAAATTGCCATTTCCTCAATCACAAACCGAATATACAGCCCCCTTACAAATAGTACACTCAGATCTTTGGGGAGCTTCTCCTGTAATGTCTACAGATGGTTTTCAATACTATGTGTCATTCATCAATGCTAATTCTAGATATACCTGGATTTATTTCTTGAAAAACAAATCAGAAAGTCTGTCAAGCCTTCATTCACTTTAAGACTCTTGCAGAATTACACTTAAATCATAAGTTGAAAACACTCCAAACTGATTGGGGAGGTGAGTATCGACCACTCATCTCTTATTTCCAAACAAATGGAATCGTTCATCGAGTGTCCTGTCGTCGAACACCAGAACACCGAACGCAAGCATCGGCACATCTTAGAGTTCGGTCTCACTCTTCTTGCTCAGTCCTCAATTCCCATCAAGTATTGGGATGACGCCTTTGCTACCATGGTCTTTCTCATTAACAGAATGCCAACACCGGTTATAGGTCTCAAATGTCCTTTGGAGAAGTTGTTCAATCTGAAGCCGGATTACTCCATGCTCAAAGTCTTTGGGTGTACATGTTTTCCTCACTTGCGAGAATATAATACTCATAAACTACAAATGAGGTCAGTACCTTGCACTTTTTTGGGTTATAGTTGTAGACACGGGCATGTTCTTTTATCTAAAAAACTCAAAAAAAGACAACTCGAGTTTCAACTTTATTTAAGTTCACGTTCTTTTAAGTTTCAACTTTATTCAACTTTACTCAACTTTATTCAAGTTACAATTTCAACTCAAGTTATAACTCAAATTCAACTTAAAAATTATACTCAAGTTATACTCCAAAAGAACAACCCCGCTACAAATGCCTTGCACCAAATGGCAGAATTTTTGTCTCTCGACATGTTACTTTTGTTGAGAAAAGTTTTCCTTTTGCCTCTCGCAACTCTTTTTCCATTCCAGCTACCAATTCAAACTTCGTCTTACCTAATCCTACAACCTTTCCCGAACCACTTCCCATGCTAAACCAAGATAAAGACATTACAAAAAGTCCCCATATAATTGATTCCCCTTCCAGTGATCAAAACAACTCTTTGGCCAGAAACATGACACCGGGTATAACTCCTCAAGTAGCCAAAACACCACCTAGGCCAACTAACAATGCACCAGAAGCTATTTTGGATGTTTCTCCTTTTAAAATTTGATTAGCGAAGAATTAAAATGACATTAAAAAAAATTGTTGTCCAGAGTAAATATTAAGACAGAGTCAGTTTATCAGTTTAGTTAATGCGCTTGTTAAATTATTTGTAATTTTGCTTCTACTAACTTTAAAAGTTCAAAAAATAAATTTAATTTTTGTCGTGATAGGTAGTTAGATTCTATTGCTAAAACAAAGTTAGCAGACATTTGCTATCGCTGAAATTCTCTTGCAACACTTTTTAAGAACGACAACAACAATCCTAGACTGGCCTAAAATAAATAATCACGGACAGAATTTGTTCACAAATTTTATTTAAGATGAGTGGCAACTAAGCACATTTGGCCAAGTCCAACTAAGAAAACGCATAGAGCGTAGTGTGATAAAACCGAATAAGCCTCTATTTTGGCCGTTACAAGTTGCAACACAAAATGTGATGAAATATCACTCAGAGAAAAAAGTTATGGCCAAAGTCCAAACCACCGTTCCTCTTTACTTTCTCATCGTCTCAAATCGCTTCAAAGTGCCGTTGACAGGAGGGGGGAAAAAAAAACGGATAATTCGTGCAAGAAGTACTAGATTAAGATGCAGGGTGTTTCCTATATTCTCTGGGCTCGGGTGCAGCTGATCGTAGCTGACCTGACAGCGTCAAATGACAATAGACGCCCCAGCCATTTGGACTATATAAAAGGCCGTGTCATTGAAAACCAACAACTTGTATGGGTTTCAGCAATTTTGTTCGTGTTATAGAACCATTCTGTTCTATTCTGTGCAAGTGATCAAGCCTTTGATGTTATTGACCGTTTGATATGCATATCATGATTCCTAAATGTACGTCTTGCAATTGAAAACCAGTCTACAGTTGGCGAAGTATTGCCGAGTTGCCGCTAAGCAGATTCAAAAGATATAAACATGTAGAACGTGCAAAGGAAGCCCATTGTTAATACGTAGTAGAAACAAAATACCAAAGATTATGAGACAAAGATCAAATGTGGAATCTGGATTGTGGAGGATGTTTAAAGAAAATGTCCAAATAAGTCTTTATTCCGCTTCACTACAGTGTTTCTATCAAACAAGAGGGTATAACAACATCCATCCAAGTATCAAATCTATATAGATCGGTTCATGGCTTTCGTGGGTTAATAATACCAAGTATCCAGATCATTTTTATACACGTTAAAGAGGCAACAACCGTCTCTCACACTTGAATGAACCCTGTAAAGGCTTGCCACTTGCAAACAATTACTGGATCAAGTGTAAATATGTCGGGATTTTTCGGGATCATTCGCCGTCACAGTGTTTTTTTTTTTACTAAAACAAACTGTTAAGTGAAGTGCTCCGGTGTTACATAACTGGACTCTTGGAGGATAAGATATCACCTTCCGATGAACTTTTCCCTTTATGGCAGGTATCTGATTGCATTTGTGGTTTTCCATCGTCACAAAGTTCCTTCAGAGTGAAAATTATTGGAATGAGTTCTGAAAAATCATGTGATTTTATGATAGGTTCGCACTGTGGTACTTAACCTTTGAAGATGTGGGGAGATTGATGGGTCCATATCGAGTCTGAATTGATTGTTCAAAACCCAGTGAAGCTTCTGAAGAGTCAACATTCGCAACTGAAGGTATGATGACCGGCTGATTTGAGATAGTGCAAGGGTCGAGTAAGTTATAAGGAGTATGCATCATGTTCTCTTCACGTCCGGAAAATGTGTTCATTCCTCTGCTGGAGTCCAGAAATTTAATACCCTCATTGTATGTTAATCCAGTCTGAGGCAATGGCAACTGCATTGGATGAAGTACTCCTGGTAAGCAGATTGGGTGCTGACTTAATCCATTTCTCATGGATAACATCTGCAAATCAAACCAAAAAAGGGGATAAAAGAAATGTGTTGGCTCTACTTATGAAACTATAATGTCCTTTTCTAGCAAAAAGAAACTTTAGTTGCCACTTACCACTCTTCCTAGATTCTAGAAGAGCAAGGAAAAATTACAAAACCGGATTAAGAAACAAAACCAACTAATAGTCGATACAAACATAGTTGATGAAACAGCAGAAATCTTTCAAATGAAGTCAATCCCTCCAGCTTAGAAACAAGCAGTGTTCCCTTCAGAATTAAGCTAATTAAACTCTCAACCATGCACCTTAAAGATTCTTGCTAACCGAGTTTTTGCCTACTTAGAAGTTTGCCTTGAATTTCGTTTATTTGTTTATTAGTTTAGAGAAAATAAATTGTAAGCATTTGGCAAGGTAGTTTTGACAGCTAGATGAGCCTCGTTAGGATAAGGAAAATGAGCAAGCTCTTGTTATACAACCTTTGATGTGGGACAAACCAAGGATTACGTTTATCATAAAGGTTTCCAAGATGAGTTTAACGTGGTGTTCTATTCTTTCTTCTTATCTTTTCCGTTCAAGGATCAATCATATTCTTTGTACAATGCTCTATATTTTAGCAAAGATAGATGGGAATAGGGAATTCATCAAAGTTCTACTATTTTTCTCATTTTACTAATTTGAGTTAATAAACATTCCAATAGGTTTACTTACCTTGAGCCCTTTGCTGGTTCCTATAACAAAGCCTCTAATAGTATTTTTCTCTCAAATGCTCTCTTTTCTGCCAATCACGAATCGCTAACAAGAGTAACAATCACCACTACTTCAAGGAATCCCACTGTAGCGTTCCAACTAAAACTAGAATATCAAATTTTCTTTTTCTTCCTCGTCAGCATTCAGACATGAGGATCTCACTCTTGTTGCCAAATTTGGCTTTGTGTCTTTGGCATTTCAAATCATACTCAAAACAGCATTAGCTAAAAGTGAATAAACTCACCTGAACTTGAAGCTGAAGCTGCTTCAAATATTCAATCGCTTCATCAAGCATTGAAGCCTTATCCGTCTATCAGAAACAAAAGAGAAATCACTCATGTTGAACAATACCAGACTTATAAAAACCAAGCTCAAACTATAAAAACTATATATATATATATATGTATGTATGTATGTATACACACGTATATTGCATTTACGACACACCTTGTTAGAATTTGGAATTAGATTCTGCAAGGCTTTCATTTTCTCATTGATTCTACTCCTCCTCCTCTGTTCACCATCAACGACATAACCACAACTCCAAAATCAAAACATAAAACGTGAAAAAAGAAAAAAAAATCGGTAATTTCGAGCATCAAAGAACCAACCTTTTCTGACAAGTTATGAATCTCTGCGGCTCTGCTCCTCTTGGATGAACTTCGAGGCGGAGCGGAATTTGATGGCACCTCTGACGCCTCGGGACCCTTCCAACTCCAACCAAAGAAAAAAAAGAAAACCAGAAGCTTAAGCTTCAAATTCTTCACACAATTGAAAGATAAAGCCTCCGTTTGGTTACCGAGGAAAGGAATCACAGGAAAACGAAAGAAAAACAAACATTCTAAGTCGTTTTCATCTACACTAAAAGCCTGAAGGTGAAAGATTTACTTTTTGTAGATTCGGAGAAAAAATATATATAGACTTCAAATCTCAAAGTCGATAGTGGTGTCAAAGGGAGTGAACGAGACATACCTCGCTATCGCAACTGAAGTCGCCGAGATCATTCTCCGGCGAAATCCTTCTTCCCTTCGATGGCGTGTTCGCATCGGAAGAGAACGTGGTGTTGTTCTCGGCGCCTTCCTTCACCTCCACGCCGAAGTAAGCCCCGCAGGGATCCGAGAAATCGAATCCAGACAACGAGTCCGCGACGGCAGACGAACCGGCGCCGGAATTGCCGTCGATCGCTCGGCACTCCGGTTCCGGCCGGTTCTCGGAGCCGAAAAGTACGGCATCCGAAAACGACGTGGTTTGGTGAGGCGGTGCTTGGGAGTGGAGTAAATGAGCGTACTTTGCCTTGAAGGTGGTGCAAGAAGAGGACGAAGCCGAGGAATATGGTGACGATGAGCTATGGAGTAGTTGGTTCAGAAAGTTGGTGATGTCTTCCGTCTCAGAAGCGAGACCGGCGCCAGAAGACGGCGTTGTTCCATACAGATCATCCATAATTGACGGGAAAGAAAAAAGAGAATTTCAAAAAAAAAAAAATCTCTTATTCAAAAAACCATGAAAAGGAAAATAAAGGAGAGAGAATAATCAGAGGTTGGGTCTTATGTCCAAGCTCATTTATTACAGTTCGTTGGCTTTTTCTTCTTCTTTCTTCTACTTCTCTGTACTTTTATTGGCTTTCTTTCTGGGATTGTTCTTTGTCACTCTGTCTCTTACTGTGTTTTTGTTGGGTCGTTGTTAAGAGGGTTTAAGCTCTAATGGAGTTTGGTTTTTGATCGTTGAGAGATAAAACAGAGCTTTTCTCTTCTTCTAATTAGTAATCAGAATTTGATTACTCTCCCGCGCTAATTATCCTCCCTAAGGACCCTAACGCTTTATTTATTATTTTTCTTTTTTTAGTTTAATAATGATTTTTTTATTTTATATGGAAATCACAGATAATCCTTTCTCTTTCTTTCGTTTCGCAAAATCTTTATCATGACCGCAAAACAATTCAACCACCACCTACGATATTTTAAAAAAACACATAATTAGGATGGTTTATGTTTCTGAAAGGCTATTAATTTAATTAAATTATTTATTTGTCATAAAACTCCTTCCGCTATATAAATGTCGCCTTGCTATGACAATTGGCAATGTAGTAAGCATTATATTTAACTTTATTTTGAAAACAACTCATACTAAAAGATATTAATTTCTTGCTCTACTTTATTTGACAATATTTTTTAACTATACACATTCAAAATATCTTAAATCATTAGAAAACGCTTACCTGTTTTTAGGTAGAACTCAACATTACTTTGATCATTTTTACCATTTTAATTGACAACAATGAAAGTTAGAAAATAATTGAAAGGCAATTATGTAGTGTTATTTATGCATCGAAGGGGGAATATTAGAATTTTTTTATTTTTCAAAATTACAAAAAAAAAAAGAATAAAAAATAAAAAATTTGAACATGGGTAGGGTTGGTTGTACAACTTGTCAAAAGAGTAAAAGGTCAAACATATCATATGCTTACCGTCTTATCCAACCAAACGTCACCTTGCCTGCAACGGAGAATTTAATATGGGACCAAATTCGCAGTTCCCGAGGTCATCTTGTATGGCAGTAGCATTGCAACACACGCTAATGCTCAACACAAATTTACAGCCAGCACCTTATTTCCCTTATCATTTCCCCTTTGGATTTTCTTCCGATATTTCTCAGAATGTAATGGGATTCTCATTCTCGTTGGAAAAATGCGTAGCCAAAAAGGCATTAAAATAACCATAATCTTATTGTGGAAGTGATGTTTTTGCAGGGATTCTCCAACCTTGTGGAGAAATCAGCTTCGAGCTGCACCGATTCAAAAATTGGCAAAGTTCTGTCGGTGCAGTTTTATGCACAATCATTACCATAAAAAAAAAAAGAAAAAGAGAAACCTCAAATAGATACCCAGTCAATTTCTAACCCTCCAAATTAACTAATTTATTTTTACTCTTTTACAATTTAAATAATAAAAATAATTAAATTAAACATTTTTAAAATTTTATTGTTACCCTAATGGTCTATTGATAAATTATAAGATATGCCGGCAAGTCTCTAGCCGACTGTCAGGTTATGATCTATAACCTAACAAATTACACTTGCCACCGGTGAGTTTCCGGTCATTACTTGACAAGTTATGATCTATAACCAGACAGATTATATCGACTATCGGTGGGTTTTTAGCCGATTGTCAGTCATAATCTATCAAGTTATGATCCATAACCTGACAGATTATGTCAAACGTCGCTCACCGAATATAATCTATCAAGTTATGATCTATAACCTGACAGATTACGCTGGCATCTGTCATAGTCTATCAGGTTATAATCCATAACCTGACAAATTACTCTGACCGCCGGTCACTAACACCAGCCATAGTCTATTAGATTATGATACATAATCTGATAAATTATGTCTGCCGCAGCCTCCAGTCACCAGCTCCAGCCATTGTCTGATAGGTTATGATTCATAAACTAACAATTTATGCTTTATAACTTGACAAATTATATTTCATAATCTGTCAATTTATGCAATTATAATCCATAACCTGCCAGTTTATGATTCATAAATTGTCAGATTATGTTCATAACCTGATAAATTATGCTTCATAACCTGCTAAATTATTAAGCATAATCTGCTACATTATGCTGTTTTTTTCAACAAATATCTGGAGATCTATAGCAACAATAATCAAATTGAAAAATGCAAACGTAAAAGAAATATTGAGCTATCAAAAACACAAAAAAATTAGTAAACAAGAGATCAAATCTCCAAAACAAATCTTAGATCTCAAAATCTTATATGACATTTGAAATCCAGTGCTGACAAAAATCTTAGATTGTTTTGAAGATTTGATCTCACAAAAATCAACCATTGAACTAATCTTAGTAATAAAAATCTGCCACTGAATCTTGGTTTGTTGTCAAAGGCTCCAAATCAACCATTGAACAAATGGGAAAGAGAACATCATCTCCAAACGAGTGCCTGAGGAAATTCCGAATACCGCCATTTAGTAACAAACCATTAAACAGAAACCAAACCTAATTTAAACAATAGTAAAAATAAAGTTGAAGGAAATTTCCTACAAATTAACATTCCAAAATCAACAAGACACAAAATTATCAAATTATACCAATGAAATCTAAACGAAGCCATAAGCAGTAAATTATCGAAAAAAACATAAAACCATAGTGATACATAAATCCAAAACTGGCTTTGATGCTATGTCCATTACAGGAAAGTTATGGAAAATGCTACGTCCCACAGGCCTAGTCACTAAACTACCCAGCAAGGAGAAAATCAGGAATAGAACACCAACAAGCAAACATGAAAAAGTAAATTCTCTAATAAAACTGACTTTGAAATGACAAATAATTTCCTAAAAGCAAAATGTTATAAATTCCTCCCAGCAAAGTAAGAATAATTAGTTTCTTACTTCATTTTTATCAAAAAGAGAAACAAACACATGAATATGGTAGATTAATATTCTTACAAACTTATGAACCAGCATGTAGTAAAAAAAATTACAAACACATTCTGTAAAGAATCAAGCTCAGACTGTTTCTAGAGAGAGAAAGAGCAATTGATGAGTGAGAAAAAAATCTGAATTCTCATTACTCTAATTCTGTTACAATAACTTATTTATACATAAGTTAGTGTAGATAACAAACTCTAACAAACTAACCCAATGAATTTATTACACGTGTAATCTTTTTCTAACATAACTAAGACTGCTTAACAATTTTCATGGACTTTTTGCTAGTGTTTTGTTATAAGTTTATAACAAAGAAAAGGAAATAAATACCCTTTAAAATACACGAGTTTTAAATAGTTATTGTAACAGAAAAGGATATACACGTGTAATCTTTATCTAACATAACTAAAACTACTTAACAGCCCCCCTCAAACTTAAAATAGTTAAATCTTCTACTTTAAGTTTGCTACAAATAAGATCAAAAGTAGAACTTGAAATAGCTTTAGTGAATATATCAGCTAGTTGATCAACAACAGGTACATGTCGAACTTCTATTTGCTTCCTCATGACTTTTTCCCGAACAAAGTATAAGTCTAGTTCTATATGTTTGGTTCTGGCATGTAAAACTGGATTTGTTGCTAAATGAATAGTGCTGAGATTATCACACCAAATGACTGGTGTTTTTGCTGTCTGAAAATGCAACTCACTTAAAAGAGATTGTAACCAGGATATCTCAGCTACCACACTAGCCAAACTTCTGTATTCAGCCTCTGTAGATGATCTTGACACTGTATGCTGCTTCTTGGACTGGCAAGATACTAGATTGGAACCAAGAAAGACACAAAACCCTGAGGTTGATCTTCGGTCATCAACATATGATGCTCAAGCTGCATCACAGAAGCTGACCAAATCCAGTCTTTCTGTAGGACATTATCTCAAATGAAGACCATAATCTATTGTGCCAGCTAGAGGTGTTTGCATGAACTGGCAAACCTTATTAACACTGTAGGAGATTTCTGGCCTTGTGATTGTCACATATTGCAATGCACCCACCACATTTCTGTATAATTGGACATTACTTACTTAATCACTGCCAAAAGAAGTGAGTTTTTGTCCTGTGGTCATGGGAGCTGAAGCACCTTTTGCAAACTGCATCTTTGTTCTACATAACAGATCAGTCACATACTTCTGTTGAGATAAAAATAGGCCTTGAGTTGTTTTTGCAACTTGTATACCAAGATAATAATCAATCTCTCCTAAATCTTTGAGTGCAAAAGCAATGTTGAGCTTAGTGGACAATTCCTGGATTGCTGATTCATTGCTTCCTGTTATGAGTATATCATCCACATAAACAAGGATTGTATATAGTCCACTTTGATGTGACTTGAATGAAGAGAGACTGATCAGACTTGGCTGAGTGAAAACCAAGTTGAAGCAGTGCATGATGAAGCTTTTCAAACTAAGCCCTTGGAGCTTGTTTTAAGCCATAGAGTGATTTGTGAAGTTTACACACTAATGTTGGATTTTGTTGATCAATAAAGCCTGCAGGCTGTTCCATGAACACTTCCTCTTGCAAATCACTGTTTAAAAATGCATTACTCACATCAAGTTGTCTCACACACCACTGCTTGCTTAGTGCGAGAGTGAGAATCACACGAATGGTGGGTAGGTTTTACCACTGGACTGAATGTCTCAGTGAAATCAAACCCTGCCACTTGATGAAACCCCTTAGCTACAAGTCGTGCCTTGTACTTATTTATGCTGCCATCTGGATTCTCTTTTACTCTAAACACCCACTTGCAACCTATGGCTTTCCTGCCATGAGGTAATGAGACAAGACTCCATGTGTTGTTTCTTTGAAGAGCAAGAAACTCATCTGTCATAGCTTGTTTCTAGTGTGTTGCTTCCAAAGCTTCTTCAACTGTATGAGGCTCTCTTGCTGCCATGTACACTTTGGGTTAAAAAATGCCTCGTTTGGAGCGTGTCATCATTGAATGAGAAGGCTGCAGGGTTGATGTACGTGTGGTTCTGTGATCCTGATCCTGCACACACAAGTCATGATTCAAGATTGTTGTTATAGAAATAGGTTCTGCCACAGTGGGAAGAGGACTTGGTATAACAGTGGAAGAAGGGATTGGATCAAGGTGTGAGGAAAATAATTCATGAGGACGAAGAGGACAAAGAGGGTAGAACACTGAGTGGTGTTGAGAGAGGAGACTGATGTGACTCAACAGAAGATGGTTGAATAGCATGTACAGTTTTGATAAAAGGAAAAGAGGTTTCATCAAAAATGAGATCCCGAGAGATGTATATTCTTCTAGATGGATCTAAACACTTATAACCCTTATGTTTGATGCTATAGTCAAGAAAAGTACATGGTATTGACCTAAACTGTAGTTTTTTTTTGCTATAAGGTCTAATGTTTGGATAGCATGTGCAACCAAAAACTCTTAGTCGAGAGTAAACAGGCTTAGTATGAAAAAGGATTTCTAAGGATTTTTTATTGTGGAGATTTGGTGTTGGTAATCTTTTTATAAGAAAGACAGAAGTTTAAAATGCTTCATCCCAATATTTAACTGGCAAAGAAGCTTGAGCAAGAAGAGTTAAACCTGTTTCAACAATATGCCTGTGTTTACGCTCAGCCACCCCATTTTGTTCATGTGTATGTGGACAAGGATGCCTATGTTCTACTCCATGTTGAACTAAAAGGACTGTAAAGGCTCAAAACTCTCATCCCCAGTCAGTTTGGATGCATTTGACAGGTAAACCAATTTGTTTTTCCATTAGTGTTTTGAAATTCACAAAGGCTTGTAAGGCTTCGGATTTGGTTCTTAGAAGATATAACCATGTAAAATGAGAGTAAGCATCAATGAAATGAATGTAGTATCTATATCCACTAGAAGATAAAACAGGTGAAGGACCCCACAAATCTGAATATACAAGCTGTAAAGGACTAGTGTAAATAGTTTGAGAGAGAGAAAATGGTAGTTTATGAATTTTTCCCAAACAGCAAGACTTGCAAACAGAAACAGATGAAGTTTTATTGATGTCAAAGAGATTACAACTGTTCAATACCAATTTTACAATCTTATCTGCAGGATGTCCTAATTTGTTGTGCCACAGCTCAAAACAAGAAGGCTTAACAACAGTTCTAGTGCAAGCTTGAACACCAAAAAATCAATGAAATAGAAGGATTGGCAGAATTATGAAAAGAAGTGCAAGACTGAGAAACATTTTGAGAGGTTACTGGAACAGTGGACTTGAGGTTGATCTAAGAGTTGTCAAACACATAGAGGTCATCTTTAAGACGACCCTCTAGCAGCACCACCTTGGAAATGAGATCCTTGACAAAACAAGAAGTGGGGTGAAATTCAAAAAACACTTTGTTATCAGCTGCAAACTTGGAGACACTTAAAAGATTTTTACGAATTTCAGGAACATGCAACAAGTGTTTGAGAGTGAGGGATTTAGAAGAGACAAAAGGACTAGAAAAAGTGGAAGAACCAATATGTTTAATAGTCAATCCCTTACCATTTCCCATGTGCACATGATCTGAACCATAGAATTCAAAACTGCTCATGAGGTTTGACTGATCTACAGTCAAATGGTTAGTAGCACCTGAATCAGGAAACCATTCCATGTCAGAGGAATCATCAGTGTACCAAGCTGAATCAAGAACTGTTTTAGGAGTAGCAAGCAAAGCACCCATCTGAGCAGAGTCAGCAGCTGAATTTGGATTTGGACATTGAGCTAAATTGCCTTGAACATAATGATTGAACTGAGAAGGACCAATGAAAGACATGTCAAACCTATAATAGCACTGTACAACCATATGACCTTGTTTTCCACAAAGCTAACATTGTATTTTGTTGTTATTCCATGACTGTCCTCTACCATGACCAAAGCGTCCTCTGCCCTTACTGTTGTGATTACCAAAAAAATGACCAGGTCTAGAAGGAAAACCACCAGAGGAATGCCCAGGGAAAACAGAATTGGAACCATGAGGAAAATGACCAAAATTAGATCTACTGAATCGTGGATTAGAATTAGGTTGACCACTAGTCATAGCAAGATTAGCCAAAGAAGGCCCTGGGGAAGGATTAAAACTATCGCTCTGTTTAACAACTCTCTCAATTCGTATTTCTTGAGCCAGAATGAGAGACTCAACCTCTTCAACAAAGTAGTCATTAAAACTAGAGTTCACACTAATCTCTAAGATATCATATTCGGGAGGTAAACCATTGAAGATCGCATCTATGTGATCCTTAGTAGAAATTTCATGGCCAACCAAAGCAAGCATATCAACAAAATGCCTAATCCGAAGCAGATACTCATTAACAGACAAAGAATCTTTACGAGTATTCTGTAATTGAGTTTTAAATTGAGACTTTATAGCCCAAATATGAGAGGCGAAGTATACCTCGATTGTACGTCAGACTTGAGCTGCTGTTTCACACTTAACCATGCGAGCAAGAATCGAATCGGACATCGAAGCTAGTATCCAAGACATGAGCAACTGATCTTGTTGCTCCCATTCTACATAAGCTGGATTAACCACACAAAGAAGCTCATCCTCTGGAGAAAGAAACCTTGCAAGAGACCGTGTAGAATCTGAAAGAAAATCTTGGAGGCGATGACCGCGAACAGTTGCGAGAATCTGTCGCCGCCAAACCTAAAAATTGTTGTTGTCTAGCTTCAACGCAACAGGATGCGAGAAAGTAGCTGGAACAAATCGAAAAGAAGAAGAAGAATTCATCAGCACAACATCTTCCATGGCGATCGTTGGAAAAAAAAAAAAAAAAAAAACTCCGTCACCGGCGAGAAGGCTCTGATACCATGTAAAGAATCAAGCTCAGACTGTTTCTAGAGAGAGAAAGAACAATTGATGAGTGAGAAAGAAATCTGAATTCTCATTACTCTAATTCTGTTACAACAACTTATTTATACATAAATTAGTTTAGATAACAAACTCTAACAAACTAACCTAATGAAATCATTACACGTGTAATCTTTATCTAACATAACTAAGACTGCTTAACACATTCAAATTTGCAGACTTAATGAAAGTAACAAACTACTGTTTCTCTTCGATTTCTTTAAGTAACCAAAAAAAAAACAATCAAAGAAATAACTAGAAGCAAACTAAACAATAGCGCATTAGTATATTTGTTCTCCATTCTCCAACAGAATTTTGATCTCGTCAGAAGAAATGATCAAGTTTTACTGATCAAAAGCCAAAAACTGGAAACAGTTTCAACTACCCCAAACCCATAAACAAACAAACAAACAACAACAAAAAAAAGGGAGTACGAAAATTCGATTAAGGGTAGAGACAAAAAGGAGAAAGCTAACTTCATGTTTCGGTTGAGCAAAAGCAAAAGCATAATAATGCTTCCTTAGATCAAGAGGTAAAAATTATAACCTTTAACCATTCCAAAATCAGATAATTGATTAATAATAGTAACAACACGTAGCAAATCAACAAACGCCAATTCGAAACCCTAAAACCCTAAAACCCTAATAAAAACAAATCAATGAATAGAAAAATAAATAAATAAATTAGAAAAGAGGACCTGGTTGAACTTGTGAGCTTGCTGCTCGCCGATGAGCTGGAGGTTACCGGAGACGAAAACGAGCATGACGCCGGAGGGGCCAAAGGGCTGGCAATCGACGATGTTGTTGTTATGCTTGCATTGGTCGAAGGGAAGGGAAGTGAACTTGGCAACGAGATCCCTCGATCTTCTAGCCCTAGGTCTGCACTTCGTCGGCGAAGCGAACGAAAACAACGACTATGACGATGGCCGTCCGTCGCATCAGCGGCGTAAGGAGAGATCCACGTTGCGTGAGAGATCTATCCGTCACAGATCTGGTGGCTCGTGGGAGGATGCTCGTTGCAGACGGAGCTTCTACGTCGAGAGAAGAAAGGAGGGCAGACGGAGGTTGTCGGTGCGGATCTAATTAGATCCGGCAACGGAGATGGAGAAAAGGAGGACGGACGGACTGAGAGAGAGAGAGAGAAGGGGGCGGATAGAGAGAGACATTGATGTTAGAGAGAGAATGCGAAAGAAAGAGGTCGCGCATGGAATTGATCCATTTTTTCCTGTTCTTTTATAAAAAGAAAATAAAAATATTTTTAAAATAGTATTTGACGTAATAAAAATAAAAAATATAAAAATAATTTTTTAATTTAATATAAAATAAAAAATA